TCTTTACACACACAAACACATTTCTTCAGAGTTCGCAGACTCTGAGAACCAGTTGCTGCCATGCCCCTTTACCTCTAAATATTTCAGTGTGTTTTTCCTAAAACTAAGTCCATTCTCTTACAGAATCACGGTATAATTTTCAAACCCACGAAATTCACATTGCCACAGTACTATCATAATTTATAGACCTTATTCAAATTTCACAAGTGGTTTCAGTACATTTTTTTTAGCAAAAGAAAAAGGGCACAGCATAAAACATAGCATTTAATTGTCCCATATCTTTATGTTACCAGAAAGGGATCACAATCCAGAGCAGCGGCAATGGCTGCTTGACTGAATATACATATAGTTATTTCTTGATCATATGCTAAATAAGGGGTGGATTATTCATGAGTTTTCTGGGAAAGGGGTGGAGAGTTCTCAGAACTGAGGGCCCCTCCCCTTTTTAGACTACATATAGTAACTTCAGACATTTCTGTGGCACTCGTAAACTGTCATGGCACTGGTGGGAGTGTCTTTTAGCATGCTAATGCATTATAATTAGCATAAAATGAGCAGTGAGGCCAACCAGAGGTCACTTTCATTGCCATCTTGGTTTTGGTGGGTTTTGGCCAGTTTCTTTACTGCATCCTGTTTTATTAGCAAGGACTTTGTGACCTGTCTTGTGTCTTGTGCTGACCTCCTATCTCATCCTGTGGCTAAGAATGCCTGACCTCCTGGGAATGCAGCCCAGCGGGTCTCAGCTTTATTTTGTACCCAATCCCTATTCAAGATGGAGTTACTCTGGTTTGAATGCCTCTGACATTTGGTCTTCTTCAATCTGGAATCATTCCTCAGTCACACTGCCTTTCATGACCTTGCCATTTCTTGCCAGGTATAGGACAGTTCTCTGTAGAATATCCCTTAGCCTGGTGTTTTACCCTGTTTCCTTATGATCAAATCTATTTAGGTTGTGCATTTAGGGCAGGAATACTGGAAGAACTGCTGGGTTCTCAGAGCTTCCCATCAGAGGCCCTAAGGCTCACTTTGCCCAGGACTGAGGATGTTTACCTCTGTCACTTGGTCAGGTGTTGCTTTCATGTTTATCCACTTGAAGGTACCGTTTTCCCCTTTGTAATTAATAAATATCATGTGAAGAGACACTTTGGAAAGATTTAAATAGCCTGTTTCTCATCACATTTTCACCCACTAGTTTTAGGATTCTTGCCTGAAATGTTTATTGCTGTAGAGGTTGCCAAATGGCGATTTTTCTCATTTTGTTTTTCCTACTATGTTTATTAGTTGAAATTCAACACCATTGGTTTTCTAACAACATTCCAGAAAGATTTCATCTGTTAAGGAGAAAATATCTGGGCTAAACTAAATCCATAAGAAATAAAAACCTCTCTTCTCTCCTCTCCCTAACCCCAGAGCCCAGGTATTCAGCTAAATGGCTTATCTATCCATATTTAATACCATGGAAATATGTAGAGCTGTTGGAAATTGTTTCTAAGGCCATTTTCTATTTTAAGTGACAAAATTCCTAATCCTCTCTTAGATCCTTCTCTCCTCAGGTTTACTCCACACATTTTCTCCTGAAGTCTTGGTCTCATTCTGCTTTTCCTGGCCTTCTCCTTAATACACACACACCCCTTGGAACCTGGCTCTTAAAGCTGCAGAAGGAAAAACTCTCTTCTGAACATCAAAGAGTCTATTCACCTGCAAACTTCTTTCAGGGCATGGCTGGCAAGTGCACATTCCACAGGCACCTTACTCCCTTTTATTTCTAGGTCAGCACTTTCAGTAACACCCTATCCAGTCTTAAAGTCCAGACACTCAAGATGCATCTAGTTAAATCCTCTCTGTCACTCTCCAGGGTAAAATTAGGCAATTAGTTATTTACACTTAATTTCATACTCTTGAAATGCCTTTTCAAAAATAGAACCTGTAACAGACCTCTCCTCCACTAGGTTCCTGAAATACAAAGCTATGTCTAGGACTCTTCCCCAGTCTCTTCCCTCAGAACATTTCTGACTTTCATCTCAATTGTCTGTGAGCACCATTCCTTTCCTGGGACAACCACTCTCTGCACCGCGGACATCAGAAGATCCTTAGATTATTCTAACAACTTCTCATGTATTTTTCAGGGAAGCTAATTTTCACTTATACCAAAGGACAAGATTGACCAGCTTCCAAGAAAATCTTTCCTCCTGGTTAATAGAAAATGTTACTTTTCATCTTAGGGAATTGGATCTTTTTTGCTTTATAATATGATGCCTCTCTCAAGTAGACTAAAAAGCATCCTCTGGTCCAAAATTCATGGCACAGTCACCTGTTTCTGGGAGGGGAAATGCATTTATGACTAACCATAAATCTTAAGTTAGGAATTGAAATGCTAGGGCTGCCAAATAAAGCAGACTTTCTTTCCCAGGAACTGCTGAGGAACTGAGTCACTCATTAGTACCAGAAATTGCTATTTTTGGAGAAACTCCAGTTTCTCCTGAGTAACCTTGTTTCTCTATAAGGTAATGTTTAGAGATATTTTTCTTTCTTCTCCCCGCTTAAAATCCTCAAAAGACAGCATTTCCTTGCCTCGACCTTGAATGGGCTAAGAAAGAAAAAAGTCCTCACCAACAGTTTTTGGCTACTTTGGGACAGGGAGCTTGTCTTCCATGGAAACTCACCAGACCAAAAGCCTTTCTAGAACTCGAGTTCAAGATATAGCCTCTGTATCAGCATTGAGCCACAGCAACATATATTCAGAGACCCAAACTTCTGTTAGTTACTCTTGAAATGCCTTTTAAAAAATAGAACCTATAACAGACCTCTGGAAATATAGCATTTCCAGATATTGATTGATGAGGTGGGCTCAACTGCTCTGTAACTTACATGATAGTTTATCCTAGGCATATTTGAACTGGACATAGAATACCTTGGCAAAACACACCTGTAAACTCAGAGTATTATAATAGCTAGCAGCTCAGAAAAAGAAGTGACCCATAGGAACTAAGGGCTGAATATTTTATCTGTAGCCTTCCCTTCTGTGATTAAAGTTTGGTACATAAAGGGAAAGAATCAAGCATTTATCCTGTCTTTCCTGTACCTCACTATAACCAAATAGCAGACAAAGGAAAGTTCTTTCTTATAAAAGACTTCCAGATAATAAAGAAGAAATGATAAAAGAGTATCAGTGTTTTGCCATTGCAACAATAATGGATTTAGGCAATGGTATCAATGACTCTTTAAATCTATTAGGTGACAGGCTAATGGGGACTAACCTGCCAACATTTGAATCTGCCTGTCAATCTTAACATATCCAAGAGAGAGGCAACCTAATATTTTGCTTTGCAATGAGAAGCAAGAGAAAATATAAAATACAACCTGTAAAATATTCTTATCCAAAAGCTGAATCTGATTCCTATTAAGTCTCTAGATTTAACTACCAGCACATAGGAAATACAGAGGTGAGAGGAAATGCGAAACAACATCCCAGGAATGCAGTCAGCAAAATCCGGAAACTCTCAAGACAGACAGCCCAATTTCTTCAATAAACAAATTGCAGAAAAAAATCAGAGGAACCCATAGGTGAAAAGACACCTATGAGAAGCATCAAACAAATGTGATGTGGACTTAAGATCCTGACTCAACAGTGTAACTGGTGAAAAAAAAAAAAAAAAGACATGTACTAGATTACCAGATACATTTGAACATTTGGATATTTGAAAATACTGTTATTATTTGTAATATTTTGATGTGATTGTGGTATTATGGTTATGTTTTTAAGAGTCATCATTAACCAATACTTACTAAAGCATTTACAGATGTGTCTTAGTTCATTTCCATTGCTTATAACAAAATGTCTGAAACTGGGTAATTTATAAAGAAAAAGAATTTATTAGTTATGGAGGCTGAGAGGTTTAATGTTGAGGGCCCACATCTGGTGAGAGCCTTCTTGCTGGTGGGGACTCTGCAGAGTTCCAAGGAAGTGCAGGGCATCACATGATGAGGGAGCTGAGTGTGCTAGCTCAGGTCTTCCTTCCTCTTCTTATAAAGCCACCAGTCCGACTTACATGACAATCCATTAACCCATTAACCCATTAATCTATGAACGGGTTAATCCATTCATGAGAGCAGAGCCTTCATGACCAATCACCTCTTACAGGCCCACCTCTCAATATTGCCACAATGGGGACTAAGTTTCAACATGAGTTTTGGAGGGGACCAACATTCAGACATTTCATAGTAAGATGAAATTATATGATACCTGTGGTTTGATTAAAAATAATCTATGGGGCAGAAAAGTGGGTAGGAGTATATATGCAACAAGACTGGTTCTGAGTTGATTATTGTTGAAGCTTCTGGAAAGTTAAGTAGAAGTTTCTTATAAACTTTCTATAATATTATACAAATACCTTAGACATTAGTTGTCTCAAAATCAATGTGCTTTTCTTTCTCTGGTGAATAGATCATTTTTATAATAGAATCCCCTAGGTTGGAAAAACAAGTTACTACATTTTTAATGTTCCTGCATTTAGATGGGTATGTGCAATAAGTTGAGCATGAGTAAAGTGAATGCTCAAAGGACACGTATCGCTTCCAGTTAGGATATATGTCAATCCTTGTATCACCCCTGAAACCAGGAGCTAATTTATCTTACTGTTTGGTCAGGTCAGTGAAGGGCTGATATTATATCAGCACATAGACCGTGAGAACACTGGCTGGACTGTGGAAGACTCCTTTACATTCTCGGCCTCCTCCCCACCAGCAGCCCTGGGACCTGAGGAGTTCTGTGTTACTATTTCATATGATATCACTAAGCCTGGTAAGCAGAGTTGTCTGCTTGCAAACACAGGTAATGCCGCCAAGATATGAGCAGTGCCTCATCTATAATTATTAAAGTAGGGAGAGTTTGGAAATAAATCTTTCCCTTTTTAATTGTCAATGCCATGATATAAACCTTTGAAATAAAGCTTAAAGAGTTATAAAACGTTTTTATTTCTTTACATGCCCTCTTTCTCCAGGTCTCTTCTATTTTATCTCAGAAGCTTAAATAGTTGTACTGGGGGAAGGATGGCAACTTAGCTTTAAAGAATTTTATTTGCACCTCCAACTGAAGACCTCACTGTGCCCATGACAGAAAACTGTTGATAGAAAATTAAAATGACAAATAGGGTAAGTTCTTAAAAGGAAAGGGGTATTGAAAACTGCACGTTTCCATGGCAAGAGAAAGTCCAGTAGTAGATAAGTTAGGAAATTAACATTTTATAAATGAATATAAAGATTTTAAAGCTCAGTTGCCTGAAATGTTGACTTAATTGTGTGTGAGTGTGTGTATTTAAAATGTATTTATTTAATATGCCTTGAGTAGCAATGCTAATTCAAGTACTTGAGCAACCAAAGTGTTACAAATAATCTACTAGACAAATTTGAGGAAAAAAGAGCTTTACAGCTGTCATCTAAAAGTTCTAATGAAATGCCAATTTATTCTTTATTTTTTAACAGGAGCTTTTGTCAAGGAGGGAGACAAGGTTCTAATTGACCAATTTAAGTTAGACGCCTCCAACCTCTTATTCAAATTGCCTGAATCTCAGCGCTCTTCCTACGAAATTTGGTTCCAAGCGACATCTCTTCCTTACCACGGAACAATTATGGTTGGAGAAAGAAATATTACCAAAGGAAAACCCAGTTCGTCTCAGTATATGATTAATAAATTTGGAATTACATACATTCATGATGACTCTGAATCACTGGCTGATAATTTTACCTTTGTGGTTTGGCCAAACCAAAAGAGCAAGTTCAATACCAAGCCGGAAGCTGACTTTGTTGAAGAAATGTTTAATATCACCATCTCTCCAGGTGATATTATTATAATGATCAGGCACCAGAATTAAAGACAAAGGGGCTTTGGTTGAAAGTTCTGCAGGGCAGTAGGTTGCCTGTGGGACCTGAACATCTGAAAGTGGAAGATCTGGACAGTCCTCCAGATGAAATCAGATCTATGATCATCTGTAATCCTAATAATGGCTTTTTGGCAATGGCTTACCTTCTGGACACACCTGTTCGCCATTTTGCATAAGCTGACATTGATAACTCTAAGGTGTGGTTCACACAGGATGGAAGCCCTTCCTCTGGAGTGTTCTACTTTAGTGTGACAGATGGTGCACACTGCCCCTATATAAGCTCTTGACCTGGATGTCATTCCCGTCTGCATCAGCATTGTGAACCTTACTGACCTACTTCTCCCACAAGGCCAGACAACCATCACCATCACCAATGCTCACCTGTCAGCCACGACCTGTGGGAGGAGCCCCCAAATCTCTTACAAGATAACATGGCCCCTCCAACATGGGCACCTGCTGATTGAAGACCAGGTGGCCGGCAATTTTGGACAGGAAGATTTGGATTCAGGAAGACTCTCTTATCACATGACAAATCTCACTGCTACACAGGACCAGCTACAGTTCTCACTGTTTACATCAGAAAGCAACCTGACAGGACAAACACTGAACATCAGAGAGCAGCCTTTACTGCAGGTAAATGTCAGGCCTGAAAATTGCTGACAAAGTGGCTCATCAGCTGAGAAGAAGGGACCTAGATGCTACTGAGCTTGCTAATATGACTAACAGTGATCCCAAATTTGAAGTGATAGAGCCCCCTGTACATAGAAGACTGGGACGAAGAGGGGTTCGCAGCAGTGTGATGGAAGAGGCTACTGTATTCACTCAGAGGGACATTGACCAAGGGCAGCTGGTATTCCACCAACAGGCGTGGGGATGCTGCACGACTCCTTCACTTTCTTGCTCAGGGTAGATCATGTACAGTCAGTGATAGGTTATCTCCCCTTCACCATAGTGCCACCTGACCCCTCACTTTTGCAAACATTTACACCAGATGTTCCTTTATTTGTCACTGGAGACAACCTTGTAACCTCAGTTCTCTCTCAGGAGAAGCCTGTGTTTTCCTCAGGACTCACGGCACAGACAGAAACTTTAGTGAAACTGACCCAGACCAGATGGCAGAAAGCAGATCCCTGGGGACAGCACAGTGGTGAAGAGCTCAGTGTGGATGGAGAGTCTCTGCCATCAAGGTCATTTGGCCACCAGCCACCACTAATAGTCAGCCGTTGGGCACCCACGCAGCCCAGAGAAAGCAGGTACCCTCTGATGGTCATCGTACCCTTGGCTGCCATGGTCTTCCTGCTGATAGTGGCTGCAGTGGTTTTGTCTGTCTGTCTGTTGAGCCACAGGTAGAAAGGGCAAAATCCCTTATCAAGCCCCAGACCAGCCTGGAACACACAACCGCAAGTCGTAGGCCAGAAAGGAGCGTAACGGTTCCCACTGTCACAGTGACACCCCTTCTACAAAGCTCCAGCAGCCCGCCAGTCTGTCTTTTCAGGGCCCCGCAGTGAGAACAAATGTATTCTCCAGTGGCTGAGCCAGTGGACAAATGTGCTGCTTGGGAGACGTGAATGAACCTGGACCCCGACATGGTCAAACTCTGCCAACAAACCAACCCAACGCTGAAGCACAACCAGTACTGGGTGTAGATTGAGGGCTCACTTTTCTTACTGACTACCTACCGTGTTCCAGGCACTGGGATAGGCATTGGGATATAAAGCAACTAAATGCTGATTGGATCAACTGAGAAAAGTCAGGCCCTGCTAGTGATTCAATGTTCAATCCTAGCTCCATGGTTAGATGTTTGCTGGCTTGTTGATTGTGACTTGTACAACACTCATGGGCTTTCCACAACGGGCTCTTTGTGTCATCTTCTGGACCTGATTTTCTCAGTATCCATCAGTTGGTCAATATTTAAACCCTTTACTAAGGTGGTACACAACGTGTTAGCTCCACTGAGAATGACAGTATTAATTTGGGGCATAGAGTTAAAGGAGGAAAGCTTTGAATACTTTACACTGATAATTCCCTCTGAGTGAGTCAGCAGGAAGTGCAAGAACTATTTCAGCATGTAGAAGAAGTAATTTATCACATCAATGAGTATGTTTACGTAATGTTTTTCTGTAATGTCTTTTCCTCCTTGGAGTCTCTAGGTTTGATTTCCTAGTGCAGGAAATGCCTCAGTGCTCTAGGTAGTGCTGGGACAGTCTGGCCCCTTTTGAAATTATCTACTGAATACATTGTGTTTCATCAGGAGGCTTTGTCTATTCTAATTTATAAAATCAAGCCTAGAATAGAAATATTGTTTGAAGCCTTATGGGACAGAAAAGTTTGTTGAATATTTTTGTGATGCCTCAATTTGGCTTAACTTTACAATGAATTAAAATAATGGTCCAGGCCCAGTGGCTCATGCCTATAATCTCATCACTTTGGGAGGCCAAGGCGGGCAGATCGCTTAAACCCAGGAGTTTCAGACCAGCCTGGGCAACATGGTGAAACTCTATCTCTACAAAATAAGCAAGCAAACAAGCAAACAAAAAAATTAGCCAGGCATGGGGGCATGTGCCTGTAGTCCCAGCTACTCTGGAAGCTGAGGTGGATGGATCACTTGAGCCTGGGAAATTTGGGCTGAAGTGAGCTGCGATATATGATACTGTCTCAAAAAGAAAATAAATAAATAATGTAGGCAGGGTGTGGTGGCTCACGCCTGTAATTCCAGCACTTTGCGGGGGCGAGGTGGGCGGATCACGAGGTCAGGAGATCGAGACCATCCTGGCTAACACGGTGAAACCCCGTCTCTACTAAAAATACAAAAAATTAGCTGGGCATGGTGGCCGGCACCTGTAGTCCCAGCTACAAGCAGGAGGCTGAGGCAGGAGAATGGCGTGAACCCAGGAGGCGGGGCTTGCAGTGAGCCCAGATCGCACCACTGCACTCCAGCCTGGGCCACAGAGCAAGACTCCATCTCAAACAAACAAGCAAAAAAGTAATAATAACAAATTTGTATTTGCATTGTCTAATTGAACCTACCATTGGCCAACTGAAGCTTCAGTTTCTGTAACTGTAAAATGAAGATATTAGTACTTGTATTAGGAATGCTTTGGGCTGCAAAGTTGCAAGACATCTTCTATCAGTGGTTTAGGTTGGAGACTGGCAAGCTTTTTCTGTAAAGAGTCACATAGTAAATATTTTAGGCTTTGTAGGCCATATATATATATATATATATATATATATATTCTCTCACACTTTCTTCTTGCTTTGTTTCTTTTTAACAACCTTTTAAAAATGTAAAAGTAATTCTTAGTTATTGGATTTGGCCCACATACCATAGTTTGCCAATCACTGATGTAGGTAATAGATGTGCCGAATTATCTCAAGTAATGAACATGCTAGGGGTGGGCATTCTAAGACTGGTTTGGTAGTTCAAGAATGGCACCAAGGACTGAGCTCTTCTGTGACTTCTGCTCTACCTTCCTTAGGCTGTTGACATTTCATTCTTTTATTTAATTTCTTGCAATTGTAAGATGTTTGCTGAGGAAGATTTTGATCTTTCAAATCAGTGTTTTATATCTCCTTTTCATGTTTAAGGATTCTTCTTGAAGCCAGAGGCCAGTTTTTCTCAATAGAGGTGGGAAGGCTGTGATGGGAGTGTGTGTAAGGGGAGACATGCCACCCAGAGGATATTTGGCAATGGCTAGGGACATTTGTGGTTTTCAAAGCTGATGGGGGAAGGATACTTCTTGCATCTAGTGGATGGAAGCCAAGGAGGCTGCCGAACATACAAAAATGCACAGAACAGCTCTCACGACAAAGAATTATCAGGTTGAAAATGCCAACAGTGCAGAGATTGAGAAACCCTGTTTAAGTCACAATGAAGAGTTTTCCTGTATACCCAATGAAGGACATACTTATTACCAAGTCTAGCAAAAAGTGTATTCTAAAAACTTCATGATAGAGTGGAAATCTCACAGTATATTTGAAACTCTGATTGGCTAGTGGTATACATGAACATTTAAAAAAGAGGATGTATTAAAAACCAAGCAAAACTTGGCAGCAAGCTCATTTCTTCATATTACTTGTCTAAGGAAAATATTTTGCCTTGTGTTAACAGGTGGAACACATCAGGAGAGTAAAAATGAGACAGAAAATTCACAAAGGTAAAGATGAGGGCAAAGTGTCCCCAAAAGTCTGATGCCTCTAATATGTTTCATATGGAAAAGGTTTTGTTCTCACTCCATCTCTTTTCTGTTCCTCTGAGTCGCACTTTCCTCCCAACTCAATTTTAACTGCTCTTTAGGAAAACACACTTCACAATCTACAGAATAAATGAAATCATAGCATGTTTGGGCCTAGAGATGACTACCCATGCCTTAGATACTTGGATCTAATGTCATGGACAACTGTTGCTGAAGAACATTTCTCTACTCTTCTTCCAAAAGTGTTTTTATCCAGTGTGTCTGTACTTCCAAATTGTGTAGTCCTTTTCAAGTGTTTTGTTTAAAAGGAGGAGGAATGAGAGGCTTAACCCAAGCTTGGCTTGGTCATTATACAACTCAGAATGGTTCTTAGGCCTGTTTTAATCCAGGCACTTAGAAGGAGTAGGATGGCAGTGTGTACCTGAATCTGCACATGCAAGGGAGGCCGAGGAGCATCTCTGAATCCAGTAAGTGGATTTTGTTCCCCATCGGCTGGGCAGGGAGAATGCCTGCTCTTTGTGGAGAAGCCAGACATACTTGGTTCAGTGAGCATGTGGGCCTCTTCCTTACTTCAGCCACAATGTCTCTGGAGCTAGGATTACCAGCCTGGTGAAACAAAACAGTCTGGCTTCCTCTCCTCTTTTTCCTCTTAATTTTGCAACTGCACACATAAAATTGGCGTCCATATTGGAAGGAGATACACACAGATATTTAAAAATAATAATCCATGTTATTGTTTGTGAGTATGCCTGCTGGAGCCAGAATATCAGTGTGAGATCCAGATGTCAAACCTCAGTGATTAATCAGGTAATTAACAGAGTTTGGAAAGTTTTCTTCTAGAGGCTCTGGAATATTCTACTGATTTACAGATGGGTTCAATTAAAAGGAAATAATGCTTACCATTTGGTGCTGGCTCAAAGTGTGAAAGAAATATTTTTGGCAAAACTTCATTTAACATTGAAAATTGAAGTTTTAGAAAATTGAAAAATCAGACCGAAATGGCTTCTCCCATATGCAGAGGCATAACGGAATAGTTTCGACTCTTTATCATAATGGAGTCACTGCTAAGAAATGACTGGTGAATAAATAAGTGTATAGCAGAGATTAATATCAGAAGACTGGCAGGATTTTGCTTAAGAGAGGGTATACTCTGGGCTAGGCTGGGAGTGGACAGTCTCTCTCTCTGTTTTTTTTTTTTAACCTCCTGCAAACATTTTTTTCATATTAAGAGGTCTTGGCAGATTCCAACCTTTAGTGGTCCCTTCTCAAACATCTAGGTACCTTTCCTTATAGTCCTGCATTAATTAGGTGAGGTGAGGGTGAAACAGAAGCTGGCTTTACTCTCTGGTTCTTCAGATTTCTGGAGCTGAAGTGGACACATTTGGAGTGTAGATGGAAGGTGATGGTACATATCAGGTGATGGTACATATCAGGTGATGGATCCTGAATTTTAGATGGGACTGAGCTATCCACTCCTGCATCTTTCAGAGGCATCATAATTAATAATGAAGTTAGCCCTGCGTGAGGAGAGGCACGAGGATGAGAGTGGGCTGGGAGCCCACTGTTTGACCTGCTGAATGATGGATCTTTTGCTTATGATACACAAAAACACCATTGACTATTTCATAGAGACCAGGATGAGGCTACCTTCTCATAGAGATCTACAAACATTTATTAGGCACCTCATGTATGTGAAATGCTAGATCCTCTGCTTGGTCTGAAGATGCAAGATGCTATCTTGCAAGGGTCTTTTTGGTCTGCTTCTTCTGGTACACCCTTCTAGAGTGACACAAAAAGTGCCAGGACAGATGAGGGTATGGGAGAAAGAGGACAAAGACAGGCAGAGCTTACGACAGGGCTTTGTGTTTTCACTTGGAATGCTCATGAGTGAGTGTTGCCCATCCCGAGGGGAGGCAAGAGTTGGAGCACAATGGCCCACTGTGGTGTGTCCCCCACCCTCCAGGTTTCTCAGCCCAGCTTTGCACTCCCTGTCCCTTGGTGTGCCCCAGGCCTAGTGACGTTCCAGAGTGGTTAAATAATCGACTCTTGGTCTGTTTTGGATCCTGGCCCTCTATTTCCTAGCAATGTGACTTATTCAATTTCTCTGAACTTAGTTTCATCAGTCAAAAACATGGGGATAATGATATTAGTACCTACCTCTCTGGGTTTTGTTAGAATTTAGTGACATAATCACCTGAAGTTAGTAGAATAATAATAATCATACAGTATTTTCAATGCATCAGGCACTATACTAACTACTATAAAAGAATTTTCCTAGGGTTTTAATGCACTGTAAAAGAACGAATCTATGAAGTCTCTGAATAAACCAGAGGCTCATATTCTACGCAAAGTAGTATATTACTGGTAGTGGAATTTCAGGTGAACGATTTAGCATAGATGAGGTGTGTTTAGGAAGGGAACTTCCCAAATGCTCAAACTCTACCTGGCATGCAGGGCCGTTTCCTTGGAGACTGGTAAGAAAATGGATGGAGGAAACAGCATGACAGGAACATTTGCAAGGGGCAGACTCAAGCTGAGAGAGATTGAGAGTTCTTTACTTTGCAGAGGGGGTTGAACCACTGATAAAATACCCTGCCCTATTCGCTTCCTGTTCAAGCAGGTATCACATCTGCACAACCCTGTCCTGGATGGGAAACCGTTACCTGCTCTTCCCTCCTCCCAACCTGGTTGTTCTCAGGCTTTCGTCAATTGATAATTTCTTTTTTAATTCCAGAATTAACAAACGACTGTCACTTAAAAAAATTAATATCCCTAGCAAAATTTAAAGTATCCAACTATCACCATAAGTCCATGTTTAAAGTAAGGGCAGAATCTTAGAACAAAGAACTTTATGGTGGGAAAAACAGATTTTTATGAAAAATTATCTTTGTCCAGATTTGACTTTGGCCTGGGAAAACCTCAGGACACACCAGCAGGGTCAGGAATTCACCTCTGGAGGCCATGCTTATGGGTGCTTTGATTAGAGCAGAGGCAGAAGCTGGGGCAGAGGGGAACTCAGGCTCCTCAATGTTGGTGCTCTTTAGAAGGTGTGGCCAGGTGTCCCTGGTACATGTGTACATATGCAGTAGGGGAGGAGTGGCAGTGGGAGTGAGGGGCAAATTTGCTACTTAAGAGTCCAGAGAATAGCAGTTCCATGGATGTGCAACCTGTGCAGCCATAGAGGGCCCGTCCTTAGAGGGCTTTGGTTTTGGTCGAATGCTCTGTGTCA